CGACATCTAAGTGTAACGTGTTGCTGTCAAAAACCACCCCCTACCCCTTTGTAACGCTTCGTTTATACATCATCAATATCCCCATCAGCATCAAATAAACCCTCTTTATTCGGTTTATTTGCTTGCATCGTTATGAAAGCGCCTTGTCCACTTATACTACGAACTCTTCGATATATGTAATAACAAGACATGAATGGCATAATTTGCTTTAGTTTTAATGATGAAAATCGAAGTGCGGCCAGAATACATGGACAACATTTTATTTTTTGATAACGCCAGTGTAACGGAAAACACAGATACTCTAGGCCAAAAAGCAACGAAAAGGAACGGCAACCGGTACGGGAAAATCGACAAAGGCAGAAATGCTCTGCAGAAAATTCACGTCACCCATAACTCACGTTTCACGTGATGCCACATTCAGGGATGTGCTCATTTCCTTGTGCCGCATTTCATCCCGTCTGTTGCCTGCGATACGGGAGTGGCGGCCTGTTTGCTTTCGCTCCACTTTCCAGTCGCGATCGACCCTTGGTCAAACATCGCGGATTTCGAATATGGCACCGCATTGCTTTCTCTGCCCACTCGCTCCGCACGCTCAGATTCGCTGACGCTGAAAACTGAAGAGGTAAGGTCCGAGGCGGCAGGAACGGGGCACGAGGCGGCAGGAACGGGGAGACGAAACGGTAGGAACGGATGCGGACGACTCAGGGCACAAATCGAAGCGACTATGCCACAAAAGGGTCGCAGACCGAGGTGAAACTTGTCGGTCATTGTGTTTGGTCAGGTACTCGCCTGCTCACTTCCCCTTCCTCTAAAATGCTCCTCAATAATGCCGGTGTCATCTGTTCGGATGCCATAATGAGACCTTACATGAAGCGGTGGCCTCCATTGCGGTGCATCGGCCCCTGTCCCAGGTCACCACACGGGTGTGGGCAGTTTGAGCGGCAAGAGGTCCTCCATGGGGTGCATGTAACGTGACCGGTTTTCCCCGCTGATCTGGAGGCAAGGGAAGGGAAAGGTTCATTTTTGTGAAGTGTTACGTTACTTTGCTCCTCATCAGTTCAACCATTCTTCCTGCTCTGCCTTGCTTTGTCTGCTGTTCTCCTGGCATGATTCATACTCCGTATCGGACATGGTAAAGGAGCAATCATTTACGTAAACGGTTATCAATCACCAAACATCAATATATGAACATAAACTTGATTTCACGGCCCAGAGTAAAAACGTAATCTGACCATATCGTAGCTGTACTTGATATGAGCCGACACCAACTGAAAAGTAACTTGACGACTGTCGGCGTCAGAACCAGAAATTCGTCGTGGCGCTGTTTTAGCATCTCTTTTGGATATGAACCCAGGATTAGGTCCGCAAAATGGCATCATAGCTCCAACTCCTTTCCGAGCAACAGCCAAAGTGCACGTCGATGCAATCCCATCGGGGCATATTGCCGTCCCTGGTGCAATCGTTGGTATTCCAGATTTTTCGACATCAATGGCCAAGAAACATTGCCCGATCCATGTTCTATTTCCCCTCAGCCGACACCCGAGGGATGCCGGAATCATGTTTATATTGGCTCCCCTGTGTAACATTACCTGCTACATTACAAATTGAGTCTGTTTTGGTGATATATATATATATATATATATATATATATATATATATATATATATATATATATATGCACGTTGCCAAAATTTGAACATTGTCAACAAGCAGCTATTTACATCAAGGATTCATCTTTTTGATCACCAAATGCAGAAGGTTGCAAGAGAATATGATGTAATCAAAACTGCACAACTGCCCCTGATCTAATCATTTTTGTTGGTGTTTTTCAGTTTTGATTTTGTCTTCAGTAATGGATGAAAAGAGTGGACACTAATATAACCAATGTAGGAAAGGACGCTTCAGTTGTAATCCTAAATATGCGGCAGCGAATACAAATTTCGTTCTGTGCTGAAGACCTCACATTATCTTAGAATCGAAACGCATGCTGTATAGGCACCTGGTCCAAGATGTATGCTTCTCGGAGATTTCACAACGGAAAATGTTTACCACAAAACACACTACTTTGTGCTTCGGCTAAAGAACGAGGCATTTTAAAAGGAAATCCGCGTGAATTCTGCGGTTGAT